TTAATGAATGTCTTTGTGAGGATGTTGAGACACTAGGAAAAAGGTTATTATTTTCGTAAAATCTTATGCTTGATATATTCATTTTTCTGTGTGGACAAAGATGCTTAAGGTAACCTTGCCTTTGCTGACTTCTGTTTTCACATCAAATGTATGTATACTGTGCACGTGTAGTTAAGAAATATTGAAACAATGGCCTCAGTTGCTTGGTTTGACTCTGACAGTGGAGTAAAGCCAGTAGATTTTATTTTCTTAGAGAAAAGACAATGCAATGCTGACTTCATGTAACAAACCGTGCTTTGAGCACAAAGACAATTCTTTCTAGAAAAATGATTTTAGCAGGACGTGAAGAGCATATTAAAATTAGGTGCCCTGTAAAGCTTCAGCTGTGTGTTTCAAAAGTATGTAGTGACTGCGGCAGTCAGGGAAAGTTAGAAGGATTTGCCTGTATGGGGACATGGGGACAACTGTTGCTCCTCAGTCACAGTGGAGTGTTTTTCCATACAAATCCTTGTACATATTGTACGTTTTTAAATTTTTTAACTGTCATAAAACCTTTCCCTTATGCATTATAGGCCTAAAATTTTCCTATGTCCATAACAGAAAAGCCTCTAAAGCCTCTAATTTTCTTTTTGTTTTTGTTTTTTTTAAAAAGCCGTTTCATAAAATAATCTCAAGAAGTGATGGCAGCAGTATTTTTTTATATTTGGGGTGAAACTTCTAACAAATACCACGGCTTCCGATAGGTCGGGGAAGAAAAAGTCAAATTTCGCGGGAGTTTTGGAGACAAATTCGCGGAAAAATCGGCCGATTTAGCGGGAATTTCGCGGGAGTTTTTGGGGCAAACCTCAACAAATAGCAATCGTTAAAAAAGGGCCGATTTTGTGGTTATTTTCATGGCAAATTTCGCTAGAAATCGATCAGATTTGGGCTGATCAGACCAGCATTTTTAACGTTTTTCTAACAGAGGTCATCATTTGCTCTTTCAACAATACGCTCCCGAAATGCACCAATGGCAAGGCCTTTAACATCATGGCTAGTGCCCAGTTTTTCGCAACATACTTGCGCCTGGTAGTTTCGGGACGTTGTTTGCAGTGACGAATTCCAAGATAAATTTGCAAGTTTACGGCAAGTAAATAGCCCCTATAGCTGAAACAAGTTTCAAATATGCTGTACAGACATGTATTTGATAAGATTTCTACCGAATTTCGCGGGATTTCGCGGATGTACCTGAATTTCGCGGCTCCGCGACCGCGCGAAATATCAGAAGCCCTGAAATACCCACCTTTTCTTGGGTTGGTGGAGGTGGGGTTTACATTACCTCCTGTGTAACAGGTTATCAATAACAATGACTTTTAAGTTTTTTTTAATCGAATTTGAAGATGCAAGAGAATACAACCCTAAGTCACATTCTTTACTCTTGTGTGACTGCAGCTGAAAGTTGGTTTGAGGACAATAGTCTGGTTTTACCCAATTCTATTTTTGTGTTTTTTCAAGTGAAAGCCAACTACCAATGTACTTCACTCTCAGTCTGTTGCCATAGGATGTGTTTAAGTGAAAGCCAACTACAAAGATGAATGTATTTCACTCTCAGTCTGTTGCCGTAACATGAAAAATTAAAGAAATCAGCTGGCTCACATACAAATCCCCAAGCAAAATCCCTACCCCAAGGACTGATAAACAAAACATGAAAACTTAAGCGAAAAACTAAATAGCAAAGCACTAAGAAAAAAAAACATTGGAGACCGATTATTTTCTTCAGGAGGATTTGCGTAGAAAGCTTAAGAGGTGAATGGTCCTTAAACTCGCTTCAGCGCGAAAATATGCACAGACATTATGGGCTCCTGCAAATACCAAGAGAAGGTCATCTTATCTTTCATAATGTGTACTCGATTATGTAAAGGGGTTCTAATGCACCTAAACAAAAAGATAACTCGAAGAAAGTTTCCAAGCTTTGATTTACTTTTGAATCCTGGTTACGGTGTGTCCATTTTCTTAACAAACAGTAGTCATGCGCCATATATTAGCATGTAACTCGAATAGCGCCGTGACGTCAGTTTGAGGTCCTTGAGCCTTGGTAGATAAATCGTAGAGGAAGGAATTTTAAGTATTGTTAGCTCCGCAAGTAAAGTTATTTAAATCAAAGATAGTGGAGGAATACTTTCACTAAAAAGTGGCGGTACGTTCAGATTGTTAAGAAGAATCAATTTATAGGGAACAACACTTTATCTGGGACTGATTTTTCTTCTTGTTTTTGTAAGGTTTGCATACATGCAAGCACATAAGCTGTAATGGGAGTTTTAAGTGGAGACTGCTCCTTAACCTCGCTTTAGCGTGGAAATGTGCAGCTGCCAAGAGAAAATTAACTTTTCACGAAATCTGTCCTCGATGTTGTAAAGGGGATTTAATGTGCCTAAACAAAAACGGGATGCTGAGAGAAAGTTCTCTTCTGAATCCTGGTTTAAAGGTGTGTCTATTTTCTTAGCAAGAAGTTGTCGTGCACCGTGATGTTTACATGAAATTCTAAAAACAAACCTGACGTCAACTTATACCTTTCTTAAACCTTTTTAGACGTAACTTTCAATTTTACGTATTTGAAACTCCCGGCAGGTTTAGCATTTTTAATTAAAACTGTATCAGTTCCCTAAAAAATGACATTCATTGGCAGCAATTTATGGGTGCCTACAAACTGTAGCTGAGACAGATAGTCAGTTTCTCTCGGAAGATTTGCGTGAAGCTTATCGAGAAGCTGTATTGAGATTTTTAGAGGTGACTCTCTCTTGACCTCGTTTGAGCAAAGAAATGCCGATGTCTATAGAAGATTTTTATTTTTCACGACACTTCTGGATTATCTTAAGGGTTTAAATAATCTGAAACAAATTAAAATGATTGTTAGACGAAGTGATCCACATTTTATCTGTTATTGTGATGTTGAATTTTTGTTACGCAGCGTCTACTTTCTTAACAAGAAGTTGTCGTTATGCACCGTTATTTTTACATGTAACTCAAATAATACCAACGTGAAGTCAGTTTTGAAGTCGTAATGAACCTAGTCAAAAAAGTGCTAACAGTTTTACGTATTGTGAACTCCCGGCAAGTGTTGTAATTTAAAACAAACCTAAGTACTTTCCGTAAAAAGTGAAAGTGCACTGTTCAGTAGCACCAATTTATAGTGTGATCTACGTTCAAAAAATGAAACTGTAGCTGAGACTGATTGTTTTCTTCGGAAGATAGAACTTCATTGTAGTTATAACCTCGCTTTAGTGCGAAAATACATGTATGCAGGTGCATAGAACCCAAGAAGATCATCCTTTCACGAAAACTGTCCTCTCGATTATTTAAATGGGTTTAAGTGTTACTGAACAATAAACGATTTTCAGAGGACGTTTTCCATGTGTTTTCTTTCTTTTCTTTTTCCCTTTTACTTTCTTTTTTCTCTTGTTTTTTTTTCTGTCTTTATTTGACTCCTGATTACGCTGCGCCAGCTTTGATCACAAGAAGTGATATAATTCCACCGTTATATAATTCCAACACAATATAGTAACAATGTGACGTCAGTTTACTGTTCTTGAACTTCGCTAGACAAAACTTGATACTTAAAATTTTATCGTATTGTATGCAGGCAGGTATAATAATTTAAATGAAAACTAGTCGGTAAGGTATAGGGTCCCTAAAAAGTGCCAGTGCATTCGGTAGCTATAGCACAAATTTACAGTGTATGCGCAATATAAAGACACTGTGGACCAATTGTTTCGTGAGGGAGATTTGCGTTAAGCACAGTAGCTGTTTGAATGTTTAAAGAGGTTGGACTGGCCTTTAACCTCGCTTGAGGAAGGAAATGTGTTGTTCCAAGGGAGGATCATATTTTCTCGAAATCTGATTTTAAAGGTTTGTGTGCCTGAAAGAAAAAAGAAAGAAAGAAAGAAAATAGTCTTGCATATTATGATCTTATTTATTTGTTATTTTTGTTTTCAATTACCCTTTTTTTTTGCAGATCAGCAATTTTGATCAGCAATTTTGTACCAAGTTGAAAAATTTCTGACATTGGTTAGGAAGAGTACACATTCCTTGTATTATTTTAAAGAAGATGTATTGGAATCCTTGTTAGACTTGTACTTGTGCAATGCGGTAAGAATTGTAAATAAGTCGTGTTAGATTGTTTCCTTTACTGAGAAGCTTGTTGTGGTAAATAGTGCGGTGGTCTTACGACGGGGAACACTCTCTTTTAATTCAATTGTTACTCTCTCCGCTAAATCATAAAATAACATAGTAAGGAGCTAATCTCACTTTTCAGCGCTGAAACGTCTGATTTGAATCTGATTAACTTATTTTCAATCCCGTTATGAAAAGAGGTTTCAAATATAGAAAATCTTCCTCATTCCAAAACCAGTCGACTTTAAATAGAGCTGCAAAACACACCCACCAAGTATTTGCCGGAGAGGTAAGATACAGCAAGTAAAGCACAGTCAAGAGTGAAGACAATGTTTGCGAAGCAAGTCTTCGGTTACTTCGCTTTTCAGGTGTTATTTTTGCAGCTCACTACAGGTAAATGTCTAAGCTATTGAATGATTCTTGACTACTGATTTCTTACAGTTTCTGCAACAGAAGAAACATTTTGTAAAACAACTTGATTATTTATTCACGTTGCATTTAGAAAATGTTCAGGGAGGTTCTACCTTTTTGAACTGTCAGAAATGACCGCGAACCCACAAATTTAAGAAAGTAGATGATAGTGAAAAATGTCTTAACTTTATGTGTGTATCCGTTCTTAAATACGAATGATTCCTTGGTAAAGGTTTGTGTTAAGGTCCATTTCATTTCACTTATGAACTGGGACATGAAGAAATCCCTTGGAGTCAATATGGAGTGGTTACAATTAGGTTTATTTGTCTGTGCAATGACTGTATACAAGGTCGATGAAAGGGAACGCATACAGATGACAGGGTATTACTTCAATGCAATTAAATGATATTTGTCTTTAAAATACTTTTAACTTTTTTTGCATGTATGGTATTCAAGCGTATGTCTTTCAAACTGGGAAGGTGAATATTTCCGACACATCCCAAAACAACCATGGCTGCCAGACCGTTTCTTTCAATACTCAGTTCCAGGGTTCTGGAGATGTAAAGGTGTTTGCAACGCTTAGCCACGGAAGCGAACATGTCAAAATCCACGACCCAGCGTCTGTTTGGGTGAAGTCAGTGTCCACATCTGGTTTTGATGCCTGCGTTCGTGAAGCAGGCAGTGGTTCTGGAGGCGCGTCTGTGATCAACTGGCTTGCATTTCAAGGTTCGCACCAAGGTCTTGATTCGGGAATCGTTGAATTTGATGAATTCACCTCAAGAACCCAGTGCAAGAGGATATCGCTTAGTATTCAGAATAAGGTGAGATGGTAAAGTAGGTGAATTCAATCAGTCACTTTAACATACTTACAGGTGACAAACAATACATCCTTACTTGGACAAAATCGATCAGGCATGGAAGAAGGGGCCTTAAGCCTAAAGCTACATGTAGAATAGAGAATTCGGAAGTCCCATGCTTTACTGTCATAATTAGTCACTTAGAAGGAACTTTGAAAGTGTCACATCAGGGTTATGTAGAATCCCAGACCTTACATTTTCATTCTTCTGTGACATAGATAATTCTTCTTTTGTTACACTCTGTCTTAGGCGAGACCCCAAGTGTTTGTGACTGTTCTACATAAACATTCCGACCGACCATTTGACTCCATGAACATTTGGCTAGAGGACGTCAAAAAGGATAGTTTTGTGGTTTGCTTGAGGGAGTTTATGAGCTTTGACGGCATCCATTCAGGTCTCAAAGTGGTAAGTTGAGATTAGAGAAGTCTGAGGAGACTAGTCTTTATTGCTCTATTCACGAAATTACCACGCAGGGTTTGTGTGGCAAAGAAGTCCACCTTTGGGTAACTAAAGGGTGCGTTCCAGTACATGTGGCATCACACACTACACTTCTATGTACAGTAAATTCTATATCGTGCTTCTTCTCCAACTTGTATTACAAAAATTAATATATCAAAAACAACAGTGAAAACAAGAAAATCGTTTCAGTTAATGTCTTAAGTGCTAGTTTATTTAGGTTAGATGTACCTGTTCCCAATGCTTTTTGCAGCACTTCTGTCTGTCGGAACTCCCCATCTCAGGACGAAGAATAATGATAATAATCGTCCGCAAATCTGCAAATAAATTTGTGTGTATTCTCTTTTTTTAAAAGAACTGGCTTGCGTATGATGTGCTCCCGGCGTTTTGGAATATTACTGAAAGAGGAAAGCTTCATTTTTCTGGACTTGGTGCACCAAAGAAAGAAAACAACTATGCTTTTTGTCAGGTTGGAAAGACTAACGGTCTTCTACATGTATGAGCCTCTGTTTAGTTTAGTACGGCTCAAGGGAAAACGTGTATCGCCTATTTCTAGGAGAGACTATAGCAGTCTGTTTTTATAATAAATGTACGGTTATCAGTGACAAAATAGGGTTTATCGTATCGTTGATCCTGATTTCTGTTGTACACCTGTATTTGAATTGTACAAAAGTGCATCCACTAGCAGTCTTTATAACCTTGATGTTGCACTATAATCTCTTTTATTTATTTATTTATTTATTTTAGAAAACTTGCAGAACTTTGTTCTATTTGGAATAAGAGAAAAAAAGCTGTTGGAGGCAGGCAGTGTACATGAACTGATGCGTTTTAAGACATTTTTAAATGTCTTAAATGTTAAACAAGAAAATTACAGAAAGGTCTTTGAATTACAATACTTTTTCTTAAACCAAGGTCGGAATAAGAAGGTGATAATCTTTGAATAAGGCTTTATCAATGCATTTTTTTGTGTAATTTTTTTTTCAGGATTATAAATTCGAAAATCCATTTTACGAGCCTCCTAGTGTCCTCACGTCTGCCAGACATGACAACGTTACCAGTGCTCTGTGGATAAAGGCTGATGGTCGTCTGAGCAATGCTTTAAATGTTTGGATCGAGGTAAGTAATTTTCCAGGCCATATACAGCCATTTATCTTTCCTTATTTATTGAAACTGATTTTAGAGTTCTTTTTTCAATTGCCTCCACACTCCAAGTAACTGAGTAAAAATGAATTAAGCGCTCGAAGTGGCTGCACCGCTTTTATATTTAACTTAATCAAATTCCTTAGTCATTACAGTAATTGTCGTTTCAACTATGGTTTTGTACCGAGAAATTTATTATTATTATTATTATTATTATTATTATTTCAATTGTGGGCTAGAAAAAGAGTGGCGAATAAAAGAACTTCATTCAATTTCAGTAAAATTGATTTTTCTCGAAAAAATTGACTGAGATAAGTGTAAAAAGTTTTTTTTCTGCACATACTTTTCTTGCGTTTGTACTTCTTACACCACAAAAGAAATACCCACGCCTTAAAAATCTAGGAACTAGAAACGTAATTAATACGCAGAAAGCTCCACTTCTTTTTTCATCTTACTTGGATAGACTAAGGAAATTTTTGAACAAAGAGATACTAAGTTGTAAATTTAATATTTAGTTCATTGTTTAGGAATTCTACAAATTTTTTGTAACTTAAGTTTGACTGGAGTTGTAGTAAATTGATCGAACTGAACAGTATTTCTTGCTAAATTTGTAGCAGTTATAACTGAATGAATTTGTTATCTTCTAGGAAATCACTCGTTTGTCTTTCAAAGTGTGCATCAAGGACAGCCAGGGAATAAGCAAGTCTCACGATCCAGTTACAGTAGACTATGCAATTGTGGGAGGTAATTTGTTGTTTCCATTGCATCCAAAATCAGAAAGAAAGAAAGAAAGAAAAGAAAAACAAGAAAGATAAGTTTTTGGACATAATTATATACACGTAGTGAAAGTCTTAAAAATGTATTGTCTTCTATAATTCTTCTGACTTAAGTCTAGGACCGCATGCCGAATGGAGTAATATTTTTCCGAAAAATGTATATTTATTTTAAGCACTTCATGCTTCAGTAAGATTTCTGATAGGAGTTTAGGAAAAAATTGGTTAAATTCCTGTCGTAAGAAGTGATTTTGTATTTTTTTCTCAAAGATATTGACCCGTGCACAAATGTTACTTGCGAGTACCATGCCATCTGCAAAGCTTTCTCTGCATTTGATGCTCGTTGTGTATGTGATGACAACTGCCCGTCGTACGAAGAGCCCGTATGTTCATCTAACTCGACAACATTCAAGAACAAGTGCTTTTGTCTGCTGGACATTTGCAAACGCAAAAGTAACCACACGCTTTATCATCCTGGCAGCTGTACAGGTAAAATTCTTAGGCTTTTTTACCTTACTTCTTTGTTGCCAACTACAAAGCATGAGACGATCTACTAGGCCTGACTAAGGATTAAGTATTGCTTTTGTTTCCGCCTTTTTAGCACAAGTTCCTCTTCTCGCTCTAGCCCTCCCCACAAACACACACACACACACCATCCCTATAGATGAGTTGTAAGATGGGTCCATTACCACGTTTTTAGCTCTTGATATCACTTTGTTTTGGTTTGTTAGTTTGTTTGCCTAATTTGCCAAATGCGTACTTACCAATTGGAGGTATTACTTTTATAGGGCATTTACACCTGACATTGAAGCAAAAACTACTTGTTCCTCTATCCTTCTTTGTTCTAACTTTTTGTGTATTTTTACACTCCTCTTGCCTCCATTTAGGCTTTCCTGTTCAAACCGGGCGGGTTTCACTCGTAAGACATGTAAAATCGGCTGAGACGGCCTGTAAAGTGGTGGAATTTCCGCCATTCTCCTTCTATCCAGACAAAGAGGTACACGTGCAATTAACGACCAATCACTGGAACATAAGCAGGAAAAATTTTATACATGACGCCACAGTTTCATGGGTACACACCGTTAACTACAAAAACTTTGAGGTGAATATTGAAAACAATGTTTTAGTTTATCCTAAAGGACAGCGGTCTACCAAGTGATGATAGTTACTAGGATTTAAAAATTCGCATACTCGTCTTGTATCTTTTTATAATTAATTTCTCTTATCCCTTTTATTGACGATTTGTGAAAAAAATCGTCCTTTAATTGCTGAGTCAGACGTAATTACTGTTTAATTACTGTTCTTTAATTCCTGTTGTGCTTCGGTAATTTTATAACTTGTACCACTTTTATCATTTTAATATTGCTTACTCTGCATGTCTTGTTTATTCTCAAAAATTAACATTACACGTAACATACATAACTTGGTATCAGATTTTTTCCCTGTGAATATGTAGCCCTTAGCTTTTGCAAATGTTATCCAGTGATTAAAAAAGTATACCGAGGAAGCCCGAAGAGCAAAATGTTTGTATTCTCGATTCATCAGTAATTAAAAACCTGCAATTACGAGGTAAAATCTCAATTAACCAAATATGTGTTGAATTGTATCTTTAGGTCTGCGTGACAGCAGCAGGACGGAATGACCGCTCTACTAAGGAGTTTGCCACAGTGGACTGGATGGCTTACCAAGGAGCACCTGATGGTGGTGTGGCGGGAAAATCACGCATTTCACAGTGGTGGACTGGATCACAGTGTGAAGAAGTTAACCTTCCCCAGGCAATTATCTATTTTGTTTCCATTTTCTGGAATTGCACTTAAGGTAGTTGTTTTTTGGGACCTAGAGGTGGCGAGAGGTCATGCCACCCTCCCATTAGTAATATCTATGATTACGAATCTTACGGTGTTGGCAGTAAGTCTCGCAATTTCGATGCTGAAGTAGGAAATTGCATCATTTTTTCAATTGCCGCCATACTGGGTTTTTAATGTCTTAGGAAGGTGCCCGATTGTAACGAAATCAAGTTGTTCAGATATTTTGCATTATTCTTAAAAACCATAAAAGTTGTTTTGCATAGCAAAAAATAAATCAACAAAAATACGAGATATCCTATCAATGTGAACCACGGTCAAATGTCTTATTCTTCAAATAATTTCGATCTAAAAATGCTTTTTTTCAAGTTGGACTCCATAGCACAAAGTATGTTTAAGATTTTTTTTATTTGCAGGCTAAACCCTTTAAAAGTGCGAAAACAAGCCTTCATTCATGCACTAAATTTTGTATACATGACAAATATTCGTCTTCCAATTATGCCTAGATAGGTTAAAGCATAAACCAACAGAAACTGAAACGATGAAACGAAGCGGACAAAACCGGCCTTGTACAACCCAAGGCCAAACTCGTGGGGGCCAGACACTTCACCACCATACGGAAAGGCCATGTACAAATCGAAAAAAAGTCGTGTACTTCGTACATGCAGATCGTGTTTCATTCTTTCATTCTGATTTTTTTTAATTCTTTGTTTTGGATATGTTATTTAAAAGTTAACAATATTAATTAGTCTGGAGATACGACTTTCCATTCTTGATTTTCATTGATTTTCATTAATGGTTGCTTTATAGGGAAAGTTTGCTACTGCCCCAAGAATCCTGGTTACAGCACAACATATAAGTGCAGCCTTTAAGCACAACGCTGCGAGTTTGTGGGTGGAGAACGCAACCAGTTCCTCCTTTTACATTTGTCTTCGAGAGCTTCAGAACTATGATGGTCTGCATGAAGATATCTTTGTGGTAATTTTACATTTTTTTTTCTTAAGAGATATACATTATGAACACTAAAAAAAAAAAGCACAGAAAGCAAGGCTTTAATGAACCTTGTGTTAAAGAGAAGCGGACATTAAGGAAGAAGATATTCCATCAGCTGGGGCTGATAAAAATTCCATAGTCTTATTTTCATATTCTTCTGAGAAAAAGAGCAGCCACTATAAGAATATCGCAGCACTGTGTTTCAAATTTTAGACTCCATTTCACAACAAGTGATTGCTAATCATATCTTCAATAATCCAGCCAGGAACGCTTTAGCTCTTAAATGACTGCCGTTAAAGACAACTAAGTGTTCAGAGTCCTGAAACGGCCACTCTGTAGCGGAAAAAAAAACGCTTTTTAACCAAATCCAAATTTTTGGACCTGTTCAGTTTTGACCAATTGGCACGAAATTGGCTAAAAAAGAGATTTGCAAAACCAGATGCACGTTTTCTTGCTAATTGGATGCGTTTATGCAGCTATGTTGTAATACTTTTTCAGAATTGGATGGTCTTTGAAACAATCCACCGGCCCCTTTTTGCCGAGAGCAAACAAGTGAATTTTCCAAACAACAGCCCTGTTTCTACAAACTACAATGGTGCATTTTGTAAGGTAGGAAGCGAGCTCGTTCTGTAACTTTACGATAATCCGTTGGCATGTTTTATGTTCTTCAGCAATTTAACAGATAAAAAAGCTATGCAACAGGTTTTCCATGTTTCACATACTATGTTGTAAAGCGGTGTTTTCTATTACTATCACCACCTTCACAACAGTACTCCTTTTAGGAGGCTCCGGCTTGTGCGAGTGCGGGGGAAAATTTTGCACTGGCGGCTATGCCGCCAAAATTTCCCTCGAACTCGCACACTTGACCCTGCTCGCAGGCCATTCCTCGAGAAAAATCGTAGCTAGCGTGGGGGTGTGATTGAGCAACTAGCTCGCCACACGATGAGGTACCAGGGATCTTATTTACATCTTGGTCTTTATTCTTCTTTGACTTATGCGAACAATCTTAATCTTAATCTTCTTACTCTGCTTCTCTACTCAGTCCTTACTCTGACCTAACTAAGTTTTAGCCGTGGGATAGCAGCGGTTTTTATAGCCAAAGCTGGGCATGTTTGGGTTTGCTGACCGTGGGAATAAAATCAAGATAAACTCGGTGTGGGTAATGTTTTGTTATTACTGAACCGACATGGTTGCGATCGGCAAGAAGCTACAAACTAATGAAAAACTAAAACGCTGGTTAACGCACCCAAACAGGAACTTCAACGAGACTAATGAACCAAGGTCAGCTCTAACATCACAAACACGACCACCTAGCGAGCTAAGCAAAAATTCAAGTACATGTAAAAGCAAGTGATCAAAACAGGAAAACACGTATGTGGACAAATCAAGACTAACCTTGACCCACTTAATGAAACAAAAACGAAACTTAAAAGAATAGACAGATCTAAAAATCAATTTTCAATATACTTCACAAGACTAGTTTTCGACACCTATCACCAAGTATCAAAGGAAAAATAATAATTTTAATTTTATTTCCAGTATCATATTAACAGCCATCGTTTTCTATCCTTAGGATTTGCAGTTTGCAAGAAATTACGACAAAGAACCCATAATAATAATAGCAGCCAGTCACAACTCCGAGGGCAGCAATCTGAAACCAACACACATGTCTGTTACTGCATGGATTGAGGTATGGAAAGATGCAGTTGTTGTATGTTATATTTACGAGTTCAGAATGCCAAAAAATAAGTAAATAAATAAATATGTCAGATCTGAAATACCCTTAGGAAGTTAAGCCCTGTAAAATAATGTACATGTATCAACTTAAGCCAAGGCTTATTCCGCGTAGAACTTTCAGTTTATCAACCATTGTTATTTAAATCTAACACATTGTGTTTCCAAAAGTAGTTTCTCCTGCTCCCTGCAAATTTCAAGAGTTTCAGTAATTTCGTGTTAGCAAGAAAGCGACCTTATGGCAGGCCTTTAGGCGAAAGAACTCAAAACCAGTACGGTAGTCACATTTTTATCTTTATCACTAAAAACATTTTGTAAATAATACAATTTGTCGATATGAGAGTAAAGAATTGTGAAAAGAAGTTTTGTGAGACCACATGATCTCTCACAAATTCGTCATTTTTGATTTTGAGGCAGCCACCAAAACGTCTGAGCGCGCAGTTGCCCAGTCAACGATGAACTGAGCAAAAATATGTTTTCTTCTATCCTGGAATGAACACAGTCACACAAAAATTTCCTTTTTAGCCATTTTTTTTTTTCGCAGTTTTAGCATAGAAATGAATCACAAGAAAATTTGCGAACACTTACTCGCAAATATCGCAAAAATAACGAGCGTAACAAATTTGACAAAATTCTAGACTCATAAAGGGAAAAGGCCAAGAAGGGCCTCGAGAAGTCGGCAAATTTCGCAAAAATCCATAACAATCAAGAGCAAAAAAACCTGACATGTTACATCCCTGTTTGACGCCGGTTTTTATGTCAGACCACTTGCCTAGTTGCCCTTGGTCTTCTACAGCACCCTTGAAGTCTTCATAGAATATTTTTACCATCCTAATGATCTTTTCTTGGACTCCGTATTTCTTCATGATTGTCCACATGCTTTCTCGGTGCATAGAGTCGAAGGCCTTTTCAAAATCTATGAAGTTCAGAAAGTGTTGCTTGCCACACATTAACCTGCTCAATGATGTTCCGCAGTACAAACCTCTACAAATACCTGTTCTGTCGTCCCCCTGCCTTTTATATATCCTTCCTGTTCTTTCCTTATATAATGTGTCATCGACTTCACTTCTTATCCTTATCGATAATAATCCTGAATAGTATCGTTCCCACAACAGAGAGTAAGGTTATGCCTCTCCAATTCTTGCAGTGTTTGGTATTTCCTTTTTCTGCTAGTTTGATGATGAGCCCTCGCCTCCAACTCTTCGCGATCTTCTCATACTGCCATATTTTCTTCATCAGTTGATATATTTTCTCTGATGAAAACTCTATGTCTGCTTTCAGTAACTCTGCTGTTATGGCGTCATTCCCGGTGCTTTCCCATTTTATAATCCCTTTTTCGCTGCCTTGACTTTGCCTACTGCTAGGTTGTCTACTGCTATCTCTTCTACTTTGTCATGGACGTCATCGTCCCGATCATCAGTTATTGGGTTTGCTGATGCTTTTCTATTAAGCACCTCCTTAAAGTGTTACGTCCATCTTGCCTTTACTTCACTGTTACTAATGATGAGGGTTTCATTCTTGTCTAGAACCGTTGTGCTCTATCTCGATCTTTCATTTCATAACATCATTGTAAGCTCATATAGTGTCTTATGTGTTGGCTCCTTGCAGCTTCTTCTGCCCATCTGCAATGTTCTCCATCCACTTTCTTTTATCCGCTTTTATACTCTTCTTAACTTCTCTGTACTTTTCTGTATACCTCGCCCTTAGTTGTCTCCCGACCCTTTCTGATCGTGTACTGAGAATCTTTTTATTGATTTCCTCCCTTTGCTCTACAAGTTTCCATGATGCGTCACTGGTAAATGGTTCTTCCACTTTCCTGGTCTACCTAGAACTCTATCTGCAACCTCAGGGTACGCCCTCTCCATCACTTGAAAGTCACGCTATATTTCTTCGTCTTCCTCTATTTTTAGCCCTTCATCCTCAAGTACCTGATATCTGTTCTTCAGGGCTATGCTAAATGTCTTCAAGGTGTTTTCATTTCCGATGTTCGCAGACCTGTAAACCCTAGTGTCTTCCACTGAATTCCTAAATCTTTTATTAATGAGTACGTGATCTATCTGATTCCTGGTTATCCTATTTGGCGAGTACCCATTGTAATTTACAAGGACAGAATACCAGAACCAAAAATCCAAGTAAACCACTTAACACGGTGCGCGACATAAAACGAACTCGACGAGAAGTGAAGGAAGTAACATGAACAGATTTATTGAACCAGAGATCAATGTTCCTAGCCCAGAGGTCACAACTTGATACAGAAGAATCGACGGGGTCGATTGACAAGACAAAAGGTCTTTAAGTTGTGAAATCGGTACAAGTCGTACAAAGTCGGTTCGAACTGAAAACGATAAAATCGAACGAAAACTTAGCTAAAAAATACATAGAGTGCAAATATATCTGACTAAAAACCGATGATATCAAATAGCGAACGGGAACTAAATAACACTAGAAAATACATTAAATCAGCCTATAAAGTTATTAAAGTAATACGACGATAAAGCTGCTGATATCAATCACTCAGCATACTCATGTTGAAGAGTAGCGTATAAGAACCCTTAAAACCACTGTAGCTCAGTGATGACAAGACTAAATAGATCCCTCGCATAAACAGAAAAGGTTACAACAACGATGTTGCAAATTGATAACCAAAACTAAGCTCTATAATTCCTATGATGAAATCGATACTGAAAAAACTAAAACAGAAAAGGAAAACTATACTCACTTTGGTTTACACACACACCAGTGTTATCTTGAATCAAAAGCTATGCTGAACTTGATAGTTGATGAGCACGAGTGTAGATAGAAATGAAGCCCCAATGGCTGACAGAAGTTAACACCATGAAGTCTACACTAGAACTGAACTAACTAAGATGAAAACGCTAAATTTGTAATAAAGAAAACGTGCTTGAAAACGATCTAGAAATTATTACGTATTTCCCAAGGCGGACATAACAAAAAAGGGCTGGGAAAGTAGCCGTGGGCTTATCAATAAAAATCATCATTTATGTAGGCGATAATCGATTTATAATAACTACCGTAAGCACGTTCATGCACCAATAAGGGATAACGAAAAGAAATCACGTTTCAAAACCAACACCCATGTTGCTTTTTGTGTATATTCTTATGAGGGAAGAGTCTCTTTGTTAGACAAAAAGACTAAGCAACAAATATTACAAAAATATATCAAATTTAGAAAGAGAAAAGCCAAGAAGGGCCTCAAGAAGTTTGTCAAATTTCGCAAAAATCGCAAAGGGAGCAATATTTTTTTTGGTTATTTAAAATATCGCAAGAATAGCAAGAATAACAAATTTAATAAAATTCTAGACTTGAAAAGAAAAAAGACAAAGCTACAGCCTCAAGAAGTCCGCAAATTTTGCAAAAATCGCAAAAACAACAAGAATATTTTTTTGTTATCCTTTAAAAGTCTGAACTTTTGCGCAAATTGCTATATTGCGTAATTTGTTAGCGTGTTTTGTTTTTGTTGTTGCTGCTGAATAAAAGTTCTTCTGACTTTTTGCGATTTTTGCGATATTTGCAGGCTTCTAGAGGACCTTCCCTAATTTTTTCTTCGTAAGTCTTAATTTTTGCTAAATTTGTTATTCGTTTTTATTCTAGCAATACTTCGTAGCGTTTATTTTTGTTGATGATGTTTCGCCCTGTTCTTCACAGGCCTTTTTTTCCCGTAGAAAATGACATGGGAACGGTGCCCTGGAAAAGATCCCTCGCTGGAAATGAGAACTCTCGATTCGCTTTGTGCTGAGAAAGAGTTTTGCGTTTGAAGCGAATATACATGTCATAAATAGGATATTATTTATTTTGCAGCACATTAAGACTGGCGAATTCCGCATTTGTCTCAAGGAGTTGTACGCAAACCAGCATGATCCTGTGAACGTGACCTATGCAGTACTAGCAGGTGGGTTAGACGGCGGAAAAAAAATCTTCCTTTGCAATTACAATGACCACGGACACTTGAATTAATTCAATTATATAAGTTTCAATTATTATCATTACTAATATTATTATTATTATTATTATTATTATTACTATTATTATAAATTTTTATAATTTATTGATTGATTACAGTCAAACCCCGTTAATACCGACACCAAGATTTGATTGAACTTCATTAACTCTTGTTTGTTTATGCAAAATGATCGTTTATTTCACCATTGTTTGCCAAATGAATATCATGAGTACTGATAAAATCACCAAACCTTTTATTGTAAATGCGAACTTGGTTTCCCTGTCGATTACAGGGCACAGTAAAAAGCAATTAATTAATTAATGGACTCCAGCCTTTTGGATACTGGCTTAAAAATTCTCAGTGAAAAACTGCAAGGGGTGACAGGCTGCACGTCTATACCTTTAATGTTTTGGCTCTAACAAGCATGTCCTTCGCCATAATTTTCCTTTCTCAAAAAATAACACTTTAACCCTCGGACGTACAAGGGGTGGGGGTGGATACCCCCCCCCTTTAGGTTTTTCTGGGATTTTTCCAAGAGGATAAAACATCAGCACCTGTCGTTTTCAGTAGATGTTTGTTTATCCCTCGCACGCATTTTGAGACAAGTTCAGTGATGATCAGTTTCTATGGTTACGAGGTATGACGTAATAAGTAGCAGGTGGACAAGCCATTTTGAGTGAGAATGTCTCTTTTTCAACTTTTTTCAACAATAAAAGAAAAATCTTGCAGCCAAAATCATGCAAAGTGCTTATTTATGTGTTATTATTCATGTCAAGCAATTACCATTTTTCGTTGTTTTAACCTGATTTCTAATTCTTGGTAAAATCAAGATGGCGGCAAAGATGGCGACCATTGTTGGTGACGTAACAGGCCTCCAGCAGTGCCACCATTCATAAAATATACCTCATCTTGTTAAGAAGATCAAAGGCTTTTCAGTAAAGGCAAAATCAAAAACTCTGGGGAGGGGTTCCATCTACCCTCCTCTTGTACCATGGTGGGGGGTATGATTTTGTGTGTACGTCCGAGGGTTAATTTGGCAAGGTAGTGTTTGGTTTTGTATGAGATTACACTTTTTCATTAAAGCTTCTTTCATAATAGTCAATGAAGGGCTTGTATTGTGTCACGAAAGACAATACTTCTTTTTCTTCCTTGTTGTTTTGTTTCAGGAGCGCTGCTTTCCTTCTGTGAGTTTTACTTCTAATAGCAATTTTTATTTCAAAATTGTGTGGCCAGCCTCTGTCCATCAACCGCTTTTTGAAATCTGAAATACTTCCTCAGAGGAGTTTGTTCGTAGGATTCTCAAGGCTTCCTGTTTGTCAAATCCATTTTAACAATTGGTGGGTGGTAAGAGGTGAAAATGTATATACTGGAAGGTTTCCGTTTAAAATGCGTCTTTACGTCAATGATAGCTTTTTCTCATTTTTCGTTGAATGTTGTGCCTTGGTATACAACCGGGTCTAAAACGATTGTCTCAGTGTCGGATATTTCGGCCGTTAATTTTATTGCCAGTAGAGCGGTAGGGTGAAGTAAGTTTACTTGATCTGTGAATTTGAAGAAATCTACCATGTCTGGTTTACCTATGTCCCATAGGGAAAAAGTATCATCTATATAGCTTTTTCAAACAGTTGGTTTAAAGACCGTTTTGCTTAACTTTGTGTTTCAATGTATGCGGCCATGAAAATGTTGGAAAGAAAACTGCTGTATGTGCTCATCGCGGTACCGTGGTTTTTTACTATATATTGTGCTTTTCATTAAGCTGGAAAGAATTTTCTTTGAGGATTATTCTAAGCATTTTTCGGACCGAAACAAGAAACGCTCAGTTTTTTCACCTTTGTCTTTTCAATTCAAAGTAGACAGACTGCAAATTATCTTAGCTGCTAAAAAATATATATCTACGCGTCGCAACTGCTCATCAGCAGGATGCCTAAAATGCGTGCAATTCCACAATTGGTTTCGGCTCCATTAAATCCTATACCAATTGCAGAACATTTTAGGAGGAGCCACCCACCATGTGAGCACTGTTAAAATTTATAAAGTCGGTAGCATCTTTAAGGTGTGGTTTCTGTGATTATGACATTAGTTGTAGTAATGTACCCGTATCAACAAAAGAGGAAGTTCTTTCTGTTAGACCATCTAATGAGTTATAAATTTAAAGAGGTTACTTCCTAACGGCTAGGAAAAAAAATGCAAAATGCCCTTTTTTTTCTGTAAACAAATATTGATAATGTCAGCCTAAGTCGGTATTCGGTTAATATTTTTCCTGTCGGTAGTAGGTAATTTTTTACTCGTTTTGTCGGTAGTCAGTAATATTTTTCGCCCTTTGTCGCTAGTCGGTTAACCCCATTCACACCCTCTTACAAATTCGATAAGAGGAAAGCTATATGAAATGGAGAAAAAACTAGTAAATGAAGGAGAATAAGACAGAAAATATAAATAATCTACAAACGGAGTTACATTTAAAATAAACTGAGTCTTCTTATAAATGTATTCTTTAAAGCCTCCGAACGTTTCTTGGACTAATTGTTAATTAACATAAAATTAACAAAGGAGAAGAATAAATTGAGCAAAAAAATACCAATCTTAAATGTGAAAAATATCAAAAGTTAGAAAAAAAAATCTCGCTAGTTCCAATTTCAAAGTCGTTACTAGTCTGTAATATTCAGCGCGTACAACATGAACCTCTCAAGCACAACAGTGCAAGCCTCAGGAAGGCGAATCCATGACATTGTCTTGCTATAATCCTCTCCTTTCTTGGCTGATAAGAGTTTAGCCAGTCTACTGTGATACCTCTTGCATTCACCTGCCATTCTTCTGGGCCCAGTCGTTCGAAAGCCCATTAGGGCTTAACCCGGAGTTTTTCTCTGATAATTTTCTATGCTTTTTTTAGAGCTTCCAATCATCAACTTGTAGACAAAAAGAATTAAAACTGAAATGCTTTTTAAGCTTTCAAATCTGAATTCAAATCTCGCACTAAACCTGGGTTATCTTAACCCAGCTTTGAACAACTCGGCCCTGGTGGTAGTAAATACCAGTGGAGTGAAGGAGCCTTGTTCGACTTCTAGCACCCTGCTGGCGCACATTCTTTTCCTCTCACTCTTATGCTGGGGGTAGATTTGTTTTGTGATGAGGCCTTTATAAGACACTGCATTCGGATAACAAACCCTAACGTCGAAAAAGGCAGAGTCTTGGCGCTCCAAAAAACTACGAGCGTGAATGTCGAGCCGGGGATCCGCTGCTCTCTTCGTACCAGGTGTCAGCACTTCTCCGTTTATCTCCTGAAGTACAGGCTCAATTTGGACGTCATTGCATCATCTTCTAGCATTTGGGCTTCCAAATCACGTAACTCGTTATGTCTTTGACTGATGAAGCCTCTTCGTCTGCACACTATGGTGTGGTCTACATCGCGGACTTCCCTTCGAGTTATCAGGAATCGACCATATACAGTTATTTCGAGAAAGGTTGTCGGAAAGAATGTGCACGCAACAATCCCGAAAGGTAATCTGGGATATGATCAATATGTTGTTCCTAACGACTGTAGCTGTCGAACCTACTTTTGTTGCTTTCCTTTAGCACTCGCAAACATTACATCGCAAACATCCCGTGCCATTCTTTCAAATTTCTTTGAAGAACAGTGTCGCTCAAACTGCTCAAAATACCTTTTGGGATTGTCGCGTGCTCTTTTTCCGACAACCTTTCTCGAAATAGCTGTATATTAAAATATGGATTTAACCTCGTTAACCTTTCATTGCTTTGTTTCTGCAGATGTATGTAAACCTGGTTGGTCATATTTTGGTGGCATTTGCTACTCAACCAGTCAAACATGTAAGAACTGGACTGAAGCCCAGAGTACTTGCCAATCATACAGCGCTAATCTCATCAGTGTACGAAACCAAGAAGAGAACGTCTATATTCAACATAGGATGAATGGCGCCAAGGGCTGGATTGGGCTAAACGATAGGGGTACGGAGGGAACTTTTGTCTGGGCAGATAATCAAACAAACAATTTCACTTACTGGGCTAAGAACCAGCCCAACAACTTCAACAATGAAGACTGCGTTCACACCTTGGGAGTAGGACATAGTTTTATGTGGAATGACGTGAGCTGTGAGACCTGCCATAACTACACTTGTTCAGAAGGTACTGTGGAGCCTTATTATTATTATTATTATTATTATTATTATCGTTATCATTATCATTATCATTATCATTATCATTATTATTATTATTATTATTATTATTATCATTATTATTAAACTCTGATTGGCCATAAAGGAGTGCATCTGTACTGCAACACAAGTGCATATTTGCACAGAAACTGTAGCGCGAGTGAAATTACAAATTCTTAAGTTCTTTTAAAAATGGCCAAGAAAAAAGAACAGAAAAAAAGAAACCGACGAGAGCAAATTTTTTTCTGTAGCAACACATTCGCCAAAAATGTGTGATAGGGTGCGAAAACAAAACCCAAAAACCAAAACAAGGAACGAACTAGTACTACTATTTGAAAGCACTGGGGTGAATCTTGATGTCGCTCAGATTCAAAAGACTGTCCTATTAGGGACAGCACGAATCCTCCGACGGGTTCTCGACTACTAGTGTTGGAAGACGTGACCTGTACCGAGAACTAGCAACCAGTTGAACACTGAAAGTGTATACATAACAACAATAACAATAATAATAATAATAATAATAATAATAATAATAATAATAATAATAATAATAATAATAATAATAACAATAATAATAATAATAATAATAAATAAATAAATAAATTTTAAATAAGTAAATAAATTTAGTATAGGTGCAGACCATGAAATTGAGGCTAGGAGACCGGATCTATTGATCATTGACAAAAAAGAGAACAACTGCCAAATTATAGACGTGGCAATTCCAGATAATGGAAGGGTGAGAGAAAAAGAGGACGAGAAAGTAGAAAGATATCGAGATTTCGCCAGAGAAATCCGACAGATATGGGGCGTAAGGACATAGGTAATACCCATAGTGGTGGGGGCATTAAGGACAATACCACTGAGGTTAAAAGAAAATCTGAGGACCATAGGTGTCAACATATCCATTGAACTGATTCAGAGATTGCCTTTTGGAGTCTGCGAGGAGGATCCTTTTATTGACTTTTTTTTTCCGTTTTACACTTGGTTTCTAACTGCTTTTTGTTTGTTTTTTCTTTGTTTGTTTGTTATTTTTTTTCAAACAAGATTTTGATGAATGCGCAGGAGACAACAACCACTGTCACCAAAATGCTGTCTGTACAAATTCTCTTGGCTCCTATAGATGTCGTTGCTCGACGGGATATACGGGTGATGGCTTGGCGTGCACAGGTAACTACTCTGAAAGCTCGATCTGATATATTGCCCATTTGAAATAGAAACAAGCATAACTAAGAGAGGTCTTGCAATCTGGCCCGAGTTGTTCAAAAGGTGGATAGTGGTATCCAGTGTATATATCTTTTTTTTCTATTCAGTGGATAAGACAACTGGTCTCCCTAATGCTTTTCCAGTGGGTAGGGATATATCAAGTGGATAGCGCTATCAATCTTAGGAAGAACTGTGGGTATTAGAGTTGAACTGCGACTTACAAAACAAGTGTGACCGACATTGCACCCGTCCTAAGCGTGCCAAACTACTCTGGAACCTGCGTACTTTACATCATTTGAATAAAGTCCAATCCGGTCAGGAGAATGACCATAGAACATCGCGAAAAAGTTGTCAATTTCATCAGTGAACAAATTTTTAAACGAATAGAAAACAGCTTCTTTTTAGCAGGAACAAAATTGTGAGAAAGTTCTTTGAAATCAATCAAAACATCCATAAGACTGCAAAGCTAAAGAATCTCGTCGCCGTTCATTCTCGATTTGCCGATTTGCATCGACAATCGCTAATGATAACTAGTAATAGTTGACACTACAGCTGCCCCCGTTCTGTATATTGTCGGTCAATAGTATTCTTGCTCGTTGTGTAGCTCTTTAAAATATACCGATTCATAATGAAGATTTTCACACATATTACACACAATAGGTGAGATAAATACAGAAAACGCAAGGTTCCATGCACAGTTTCAGCTCGATTTACACAGCTTTGATCAAAGCATTCTCAGTTTCGAGAATAGTTTATTCTCAACCATAAGTAAAGATTTAATTAGAAGTTGAATTTTTCGCTATTTCTCTCTCACTTTTTACATTCAGTTCATTTTATTTGCCGGAAAGTAAGCCTTAGAAATTAAAAGGACGTTTGATCGATTCACGCTCGCGCATTCTAGTCTTATCTGAAACTTTATAACGGAAGGACATCTGTGAGCAGGGAATAAGTCAGCACAGAATTTGATTGTCGGCGAATTTCTGTATTCGTCCATCGTTCTGTTAGTGATAGGCTAGCCGTTGTTCACTCGTCTTTCTTGTTTGGGGTTAAGTCTTATTCCGGTCAAAGAGAGAGAAAGAGTGTCAGGCAAGGTTTCAATATAAATCAAAGATTTGTGAACTCGTGTCTCAACTCTCCAAGTGTATATATATGCACAGTTAAGAGCACCGTATAACCTCATCTGCGCTTAACGAGTGTCTTTTGGTCCATAACTTTCAAAACAACTGCTCCACAGACTGTCGCTGCGTAATGCAAAAAGAGTATCGAAGTATGACTGCCCAATAAATGTTACAAAATCTACCTGAGCGGTCCCTTCGGGATTTTCTGTCTTTACGTCATCCTAATCATTTCGTACTTGCGGGCGCAAAAAATAGAAACGTCATCATTACCTACCGATTCCTCGCGGCCCCTGTTCAAGCAAATCGAGATTTTTTCTATATTGACGGTATGACTGTATATTTCAACTGTAAGTACTTTCCTTAATACACGCGCGAGTTACTAGAGTGCCTCCTCGGAATTTCGCCTTCTGGGCGAAATCCCTGCTCGGGCAATAACGATAATGAAGTTCATGAAGAACAGTGAAGTCAGCACAAAGAGCAGCCTGGGTGGATAATTTGAAAATCCTGGCAGCGGCCTTTCAGGATTTACTATAAACATGAAGTGTTGTGAACAACCTCGCCTTGCCAAACAACCTCTCCAGTATTACCCGTTTTCGTTTACTCAGTTCAACTGGACGTTCAACGTTAATTATTAATATTTCAGCAGTTTACTAATCTCTAAATTCCTATTGAGCTGTCTTGTAAAATACTGAGTAATTTTTTTGTTTTTCTTTCGTTTTCTTTAATTTGGGGGAAGCGCACAAAGTCTAGAGAAAATCGGTGTCTTCAGGCGTCAGTTATTCAAGAGAAAGATAACACTATCACTAATACTTATCCGTTGGATAGTGCTTTATCCGGTGGATAGCTCTATCCCACTGGGGCCTGGTGTCTTCTTTGAGACGTTTATAAAACATCGACAAGGCAAATTATGTTACAGATCATGAATACGTCTTAAGTATTCTGTGTGAATTATTTTTTTTCTCGGTTCATGCTCGCTCTAATCGGACAGTCGATCGGTTGAAAGTGAGTTAATGATTGCTTGTGTGAGGCAAAAAATTAGCTGAAAGAAATTCTTTTTCGTCGTTCATAAAAGAGTTATGCGATTCGAGGAAAATTCGCCATCTCACCGAGAAGGCCTTGTCAAATTACAAAAAAGGCCGATATCGCACTCATCGCGTTATTCCGGATTTCGCGTGAAATTTCACGTAGAATTTTCTAGTCATGAGGTGAATTCTCCTAAATATTAATTTCGAGGCCCAAATGAACATGCAGTCTAAAACTGGGAATTGTGTATTTTGTAACCTGTGATCAAGCTTCCTTTAAAAGCAATTTAGAGATATAGGGTGGCAAGACTGCAAGTTATGTACCGTGCACTTCTGTCAAAAATAGTGTTTTTGGTGTTTGTTTGTTGTTTGTTTGTTTGTTTTTATTTTTTTAGACATCGACGAATGTTCTTCAGGTCATCAGTGTGACAGCAGTGCGACTTGTTATAATACAGCTGGATCTTACACTTGCATCTGTATTAGCGGTTATACAGGGGATGGACGAACCTGTAGAGGTAAATTAAATACATTTTTTTCCGACCCACTACACAGTCGTGATGAACTGTTAATGGGTGATTTCTTAAGCCGTTGCTAAACTTGATTCCACAGAAAAAAATCTTTTGATCAGTGTTTAAACTTCGCAGAGTAATTCATTGCATGAAACGGTAGACTGTTCTAGGGCGCTGTTAGTTTTTATTAGTATACAGCTGTTTCGAGAAAGGTTGTCGGAAAAAATGTGCACGCGACAATCCCGAAAGGTAACATGGGATATGATCAATACACTGTTCCTGACGATTGTAGCTGTCGAATTTATTTGTGGTGCTTTCCTTTAGCAGTCGCAAACATATGTCCATGGCCTCAAGTGCCATTCTTTCAAATTTCTTTGAAGAAAAGTGAACTCAAAACCACCCACAATACCTTTTGGGATTGTCGCGTGCACTTTTTCAGACAACCTTTCTCGAAATAGCTGTATACTAAAACAGTGGATAGTGTTTTTCGCTCGCTGTGATTGGCTACTCAGTCAGTGAATATCCTGCACTATTCACTGATTCACCTCCAGCTTCTCCGGGCGAGCGACGCCAAACTCGCGTAAGTTTCGAACAAAATACCTTGCCCGGTTTGCTGCTGTAACGAACAAAGAAATTTCACAACTAATCAGGCAAGCTGTTCCCGAAATACACGAAGAAGGTGATGAAGTTCGGGGTTGAAGTTTTAACAGGTAAAGCTTTGTCATTTTGACTTGAGTTTATCGATAAAACCGGCGAAAAGTTTTTTGTTTACAAATGCAAATTAAGCTTAAGTCTTGCGTTACTTTATTTAGTTGACTTGTTCATAAATAAGCTTAAAGCTAAATTTAATAATCTTTTTACAGATTGATTTTAAATACAAAAAGAATTCACAACTCCTTTTGAGGAAATTCCTAGGGTCTGCCGGATTATGCTCGAAAAATAGAGTATTATGCTTTCAGGCGTCACCCGTGAAACTAGGGTATTATGCTCAAAATTATGCTCGACTGGAGGTATTATGCTCAAATTATGCCGGATTAAAATGACACTTCCACCCCCCGGCCTGTATCTATTAATAAGCATTCCTAGTCTTTCATTTTGAAAGAATTGTTAGACAACAATTATTCAGTTAAACATTCGATGAGCAAGCGAAAGGTCGGAAATTGTGAGGCATTGAAAGGCTTACTATGGGCGCTTTCCATTTAGTTAAAATTTCCGGAATTTCCGGTTCGGCGGTAAATGGAACACGTTTCGTCGGTTCGTCCCACTGGAAAATTCCCAGAAAAAGTGGAAAATCTAAAAACGTGGTCCCGTTTTCCCGGTTGGAATTTCCGAACGGAATGTCGCGTTCCATTTACGTTTCTCGTAGTTTGTACCAGTTCCAGGTCCACGGTCGGGCACCGCCACGTACCGGTGTTTACGACCAAATGGAACAACTTTTTACCGATCGGAAATTCCACTTTTGCTACCACCGAAATTTCCGGGTTTTTTTCCTAAATGGAAAGCGCCCTTTATGTGTTTCTCCAATGAACTTGGATTATAGCAAAATGCACTGGGTACGAGTCTAACGTATCAAGTTAAAATATTCCCACTTTGATCAACTTTGTACATTCTAGAGCGTCGCTGAGAGCGAGTTGCTGGCAAAATTTGCATACACCTCTCACAGTTTTCAGAAACAGAGGCATTATGCTCCAAAAATGTTAGTATTATGCCAGCATTATGCCTGATGCTCCAGATATAGTATTATGCTCAAAATTATGCCGGCATAATCCGGCAGACCCTAGAAATTTCCCCGCAAGAGCTCAACAATTGCCTTCAAAAGTTTTATTTGTCGGCAAGAAAAAGCGACGACCGCGGCCGTTCGGTCATTGCGCGCCAAAATTGTAATCGCTGCAGGCAACAGTAAATGAGTTAAAAATCATCATTTTTGTGCTCAATTATCTCACTATTTTAGTATATACTAAAACAATTATTCACCTCAGTGTCGGTGACTAGTGGTGGAAATTTACCTCGCCGCTAACGCGGCCTCGGTAAATGACCACCACTAGCCACCTCCACTTCGGTGAATAATTGTTATTTATCCCATTACGGTACCATTTTGTCACAGCTTTAGAAGACGAGGCCCCATTTAGAACTAGACATTATTTCTAGCTACCAAAAAAATGGCACCACTGGCTAAAAACGGATTGTCAAATTGACTCAAAGCAGGAGTATGCATCGAATTAGCAATATCCTGTTTTAGTATATTTTTATACTAAAACAGTGGATGGTGTTTTTCGCGCGCTCTGATTGGCCACTGAGCAAAACGGTTTCCCGGTTTGCTACCGTAACAAACAAAGAAATTTCGCAAATAATTTAACAAGCTGTTCCCGAAATGCACGAAAAAGGTTAAGAAATTCGGTTTTGAAGCTTTAACAGGTAATATTTTGTCTGTTTGACTTGAATTTATCGATGAAACCGGTGTAAAAGAGTATTTTGTTTACAAATGCAAATTACGTCTTGCGTTTAATACTTTAATTAGCTGACATGTTCATAAATAAGCTTTTAATAGTTTGTATAAACAAAAGGGTTTCAAATACAAAATAGCCTGCGTAGCAGGCGCTTGGAAGTAGTTGGCGAAAGAGAGAACGGGAACGCGGGAGGGAGACACGCGAGGGGCGAGGAGCGCCTGCACGGAAGGCCCCGAAAATCGTTTCAACTTGCATTCTGTGAGTGCGGATATTTCCAATTGGTCGAGAGGCTTCCAAGGGAAAAAAATACCGCGCGGGGCGAGAAAACTGTCAATCAATAGTACATGGACAACGCAGTGAAGATCTTATATTACACCACTAGCTCCTGAAACCACTGAAACCAGTAAATATACAATATACTACTTATACTAAGTAAACAATCGAAGGTCATGTCTCGGAGGTCACTTCAGTCTGGTTTAATGGGACTATGTGGCTGTAATCTCAAAGAAAAGTTAGAATGTTCAAACGGTATTCACGATGGAAAGAATTGACACCAGATACGCATTAGCAGAAGTGGCGAGAGACAAAATAGCGTTGCAATGAAGATCAGAGGAAGTATTCTTTACTAAGGAGAACTTGGCGGCTTGTGTTGTCAATGGAACGCATACAATCAAAACTTGGACGTGATTGATGAAATGAAACACTTACCAGGGACATTAATTTGAAAAAACGTTTCACTATAGTATTATTCGCTGTTCAGAGGCGACCTCTGAGGTCTGTTGTTTATGTCTCGTTACTGTAGTAGAAAACTTGTCGGTACAGTTTGTGTTCTGAAGTTTAGGTTCGCTTAGTAAGACGTGTCTGCTCCAAAAACGGCTGCCACTTACCGCAGAAAAAGCAATGGTCATTTTCCACGTACGCTGGGATCATTGGTGTCTGAGTAAGCTCAGAGAACAATATTTTTAGTTTTTTTTTTTTAATACACAGCATGCATTCTTTAAAAGATACCCAGTTTTGACTTTGTTATTTCCTATTTATTGTGCCTGTGGTTAAAAACGATTTAAAGCTGTGTGTTAACCATCAGTTTATTGCTCCATCGCTCTATAATCAGATAACCCAGCTGATCTTTATAACAGATATATTTAGACCAAGGATAAAATGTACAACGCTTTTTTGCGGTACGCTTTGTTTGTGCGGGGTCAGTCGTTTTCTGTCAAAACTTTTGACAGATCACGCAACGGCTGCCAGGTAATTAGGTTGGGAGCGGGAAACGATTTTCGATGCCTTCCGGGCAGGCGCTCCCTCTCCCCTCGCGTGTCTCCTTCTCTCGCGCAGGTTTTTTTCTTGTACCCACTAATTACAAGCGCCTGCTACGCAGGCTAGATACAAAAAGATCGAAAAGACCTTACAACTCCTTTGAAGAAATTTCCCCAAAATAGCCAAACAAATGCCTTCAATAGTGTTATTTGTCGGTAAGAAAACGCGACGGCCGTTCGGTCATTTGACGCCAAAATCGTAGTCGTCTGCGGCAGTATAAAATGAGTTAAAAACAATCATTTTTGTGCTCAATTATCTCACTGTTTTAGTACATACTAAAACAGTTATTCACCTCTGTGTCGGTGGCTAGTGGTGAATAATTTTCATCTATCTAATTTCGACCTGTCACAGGGAGTAGGACTTCCTTATAGTTCTTGCACTTACAATCAGCCGGTTCGACTCTTCGTATTACGAACGTTTGTGTATTACGTGGTCTGTGGAATTTCATCTGTAAAAATGGTTCATACGGAACATGGTTATATTTCCTTGCAGATGTGGATGAGTGTTCGCTTAAAACTCACGACTGTGATTCAAATGCAATCTGCAACAATACAGGAGGGTCATTTACTTGCAAGTGCGACGGAAATGCGTTATACTATGGCGACGGGAAGACGTGCTCTCATCACCGTAAGCGGACAGTCACTTATTTTATTTTGAAATTGATAAACGCATTAATGTTAATTTTGTGGATTATTTGCAACGCTCTTCCGCTTCTTTTTGTGACCTTAACAACGTTACTCTCAATGCTGACCAACGAAGTTGTTAGCATTCAACGGCGCTAACAAAAATCTACAGTAGTGATTGAGAGTGCTTACCCTGGGTGCCAGAGACTTTTCTAGTGCGGTTTCCGGTTTTTGTCAAGTCTTTATAGTGAATGTGTCGGCCCTCTGCCAACACAGAAAATTCCCGCCGCGCGCGAGAAAAACCTCTGGTACCCAGGGTAGAGAGTGCTTGAAGCTAACAAAACTCAAGTCGCACAAACTCCTGGGAACGAGGTTGCACGTCACACTGTCCGAAACGAAGATTCAGGGAAAGTGTATTGTTGAGAGATCCCCATGGTGGGGTGGGTTTTACGAAGAGTGTATATAAAAACACCTCTGAAGAAAACTTTTCTCAAAGCCATGTTGGATGCTGAACAGCTAGCTACTATCTTAGCTGAAATTGAGGCACAGCTGAACAGTCGTCCTCTACAGCGTAATTACTCCCGCAAAGATACTAATGGTTTTGGGAGCGTTGGTATGCCGAGTATCTGCAGTCTCTGACACCCCTCAAGAAATGGTGTACAGACACGCGGGCAGTAAGCCCTAAGTTTAAAGAAATCGTTCGAAACACCTATAATACACGAGCTCATTCACTCAGAGTGATATTTTACTTTTTGTTGTTTTGTATATTGATTTTTTCTTTCTTTTTTTTCTCTTTTCTTTGCTTGGGGGAGGGGAGCTGGTGTTGTCTAGCTGAGCAGTTATTGTGTACTTTCCCACTGTTTTATTACACTAAAGAATAATCTTTGGGTCTGTCTCTTTCTAGGCCTTGATGACTCTATCGTTTTAGCCAATGACGCTAGCATGATATCGCAGCTAAATTCCTGGCTTAGTCCCAAGTTACGCAGTTCATACAGTTACTGGAAACTGTGTTACAGAGCTTCCGTTGACGGTTGGAGATCACGGACCTTTCACAATCGTTGCGATAACAAAGGAGCCACTGTTACCATTGTAAGGGTTGGGAGCTATATTTTCGGAGGTTACAACGATAATTCATGGCAATGTAAGTTCTCAAATATGGTAAGCATGACGCCATGATCGTCCTTTGTTCAAAATAATGTCTTAAACCTAGGATGAGGAGGAAAGGTCTGTTTTATAACCCTCCTGTCTTTTGTATAATTGTATTTATTAATTGTTCCTTGATAAACTGATACTATTTTGTTAGTAGCCTGTTCCAGGCGTTCAGATAGTAGAGCGCGGGAGAAAAATTCACGAAGAAAAAAAACGAGGGGAGACTCGCTCTCGCCCCCATTCCCCCTCCATACACCATTTTACAGCTGTGGGCTTAGTATCCTAGACTTCGAATGAGTGCAAGACTGAGGTTGACCATGATAGATAGATAGTTGGATAGTATTAACAATACTTTGCTGCACAAAGGCTGAATTGCGTATTTACAAATTATGCAATTGATAAAATGTGTATATAAAACTAATAACCGTGAATAAAAAAGTGTGAGAAATGTGATAAAAAGTCTAAAAATCTACGTACAGGATCAAATAATAAAACTATTCCTAAAACGATCTGTCTTGCATTTAGGTACAATGAAGCGCCTGTTGCACCTTAGAGCATAACAATGTTGTGATACAAACCTCCTTTGTTTTGTTATGGAAATTATACTTAAAAAGTGCTTGTTGAAAGAAAGCAGAAATGGTTGTATCAAAGCAAGGTCCACTCCAGCCTCGTTTCCATCCATAATTGTAAAATGGTCTATTGAACGCGACTGAGTTACACTGAATCTCTACTTGTTTGTGTTCTGTTTTTTTGTCTCTTCAGGGTATGCTGGTTATCAATATTCGACAAATACTTTCTTGTACTCACTAAAAAACTACAAGGGGTATGGATACTTCAAAAAGGACATAACTGACGGCCACTATGGCTACGCCACTTACAGCGATTATAGTTTGGGTCCAACCTTTGGTGGGGGCCATGATATGTACATTGCGGACAATGCGGGAAGAAATACCAATTCTTACTTTAATTGTCACTCGTACCAGAGGCCTTATTGCGACTATGGCATTTGGGTTGGAACACGATACGGGAGTAATTTCCGCCCAGATGAGTTGGAAGTTTATTATGAAGTGCTTGCTTGAAACTGAGCAGCTACAAAAAACAAAGGAAACACGAAAAACAACAACAGTAACAACAACAAACCAGCGAAAAATAAACAAACAACAACAATAAATAAATTAATAAGGAGAAGATTCAACAACAAAATGAGGTGTTAAAGCACCAACAGCGATTAGCCATAGCACGACTAGTTTTGTCCCTATGATGGACCATTTTTGTTGGTAGCATAGTTCCATGGTAGGAATTTGCTATAAGGGAGTGTTTTCCTTTGTTAGGACTTATCCCTGTAGGTATTCTTAGGAATCTCGAAGGCGATTTTGTTTTAAACTGATCAAACGGAGAAATATTATTTGCGTTAATGGAAATCCGGTCCGAAATGACTAAACTCAGATAGGCACACGCAAATAGTTATTTATTTTTTAATTAAAATAGTATCAGTAACCTATAAACTAAATAGATAGCAATAAAGAGTTTGGGTACCCTGTAAAATATCCTTAATTCTCTTACTGAGCACATATTAGTATTTTTCTCACTGAGCACAGATCAGTATGACACTCCCTACTCTCTAAGATATAATTCCTTTTGTTTGCAAGCTTGGCCACTTTATTATTCTACAAGATTGAAGCTATTCAGTAGTACTGTTTTATGTTATCATTGTTTTTTGTTTTCACTTTGTTTTTAAGTATAACCAATGATGTGAAGGGCAATGTCATTTATTCTTAATTTAAATGACTATAAACTGAATTGAATTGTCTTAGAGGAGTGAAAGAGTCTTCATTGGCATGGAAAGCCGGGTATGATGCAAATCCAACATTGTGGCAAACTAGAATGTTGTTTTAGCTGGTTTACGTTTATCATAGCTAAATCAACGCACTGGATTGAAGTCATTTCCAAGCACGCGTGGTTTTAATTGTTTTCACTCGTTATCCAGACTCATCCACCGGAACAATATGGTGCGTGCTCATGGGCTAATAAGTACTTACAATTATTACTCAAGCTAGTAATAACCAAGGGCTATGGAATGCGGGCGAGTTAAAGCTATCAGATCGAAGGTCAAAACGCTCTTACATTTTAAGTAGATCCAAAATATTGTCATGATACCAACACTTAAAAAGCAAAAGGAATTCTTTTTGGTAAAGCGGTGTTGTCTTTTCAGTGCTTTTGCCTTCATCTCCCTTATTCCTAGCACTTTACAATAGAACCTGCAGTGAGTTTTCTGTCAAACATTTTGTGTTCTAAACTTCAGTTGTTTAACTATACGTCGCTGCGTTATTACTTCGTTTCCTGTAACCTAAATATTGTTCTTCAAGGAATATCTTTGATCATTGGATATCTGTTTACATTGTATGTTTGCCATTCCCGGAACCGAGAAGCTCATCTATTTGAAGCAAAGACATCGCCGGTTAGCCACTAGATTACGAGCAATCTCCCCATTTACACCAGCGAGCGACGAAAGAGAGACTCACCAGGAGAGTTAAAGGGATATCACGATCGATAAGCGGGGAAGCCACAAGGGTAAAGGCCGAAGGAGACAGCGAAATGAGGAGGAAGAAGAATGCCTTGAGCTAGAGAAAACCCGTGAAATTAAAAAAGCAGCGAACTCGGATGGGTCAGCAGAAGCCACAAGGAACTTGAAGACCAAGAGAGGCAGTAACGATAATAGGCCATTTCCGAGTTCTCCGGGCCTCTGTTTCAAAACGAGGGTAGGTGATCAGCAATGCAAATAAAACTCATTTTCGCAAGAAAGATTGTGCACCTTGCCTCATTTTGAAAGTGAGGGTCTTTGGAACTCGGAAGTGGCGTATTGGAACACTTTCAAAACATAGCCAGAAATTCTAGACCGTCAGCGGCTTGACTTGCTGGCACGTAAATTTCGGTTTTCAATGTGGCGGACACCGGAAGAAGGGAAAGGCTCCTGACCATATCTTGAATTCCCTGCCGCACTGCAGATTTCATGAGAATATGAGAATAAAAGCATATGCTAACGATGTCTCTACTGAGCAAATTCTCCAAGGTTGAAAAGAATTTTATGGGGCAGTGTGGTTGTCTGACATGGCATAAATTCCTATCCCTCCAAAATCCCGCTGTTTTTTTCAAACTTTGGCGTTTTCTAGAATATATGAAGCACCTACCGTTGTTATAGGAAATACCACTGACCGCTATGACCTCTTATACACGTTGAAAGAAAATGGCGGCCTCAGTGAAAATCAGGGAAATGCTAGTTTCCATATCTCAATCCGCCCTTGGATACCTTGTGGTGCCTACACAAAGTAATTGCATATATGTATACATATATGAGTGGGCCCTGACTATAGTGATTAGGGTTAAGCACTAACAATACTGATTAGGGTTAAGCACTGAAAATACTGATTAGGGTTAAGCACTGACCATACTGATTAGGGTTAAGCACTTAGAATAGTGATTAGGGTTAACGGTTAGCTTCTTTTTAGGGTTAGGGTTTTCGCTACAGTAGTTAAATTACTCCACCTCCCAGCAGCGAATCCTCGGTGGTGTAGTGGTTAGGGCTTGGGACTACAGATCTAGTATTCCGAGATCGATTCCTGCTCGTAGTGCGGAAATTTTTTTTCCCTTTAAAATTGAAGAGACTTGCACTTTGACGACATTTGTTGAGCAGAAACTAAGTCTCTGGGTCAAGAAACTTAGAAATTTCATGTAAGTGTAAGTGAAAAGGGAGAGGGCGGTTTGAGATATGGAAACGAGTGCTTACCGTGAAATCACAACAAAACGCTCGAAGGAGCATTGTTGCGTTAGTAATGGCTACATCTTCTCGTTTCTCGTATTCCTGGAAAATACCTCTTTCCACATTGAAAAGGCACCGTGGAAAAGAACTGCTTTGTGAAGTTTATTGTCTTATCTTTCGGATATGCTGATGGGGAAGCGAATCGGTGCAACCGTTTCCTTGTAGCAGAAGTAAGGAACCATGAAGGTAGGGATATTGAGAGGAAGGTGTGGCTATTTTATGAGGTAAAGTGTCACCGTCTAAAACAGGTTTTTCCCCGCATTGCTTACGATTGAAATACGGTTCGAACTTGACTTTATCTATTTTGATGATAGGGAATATAGTGCTGAGTTTCTCGCGTTAATGCCACAAAATGCGAAATATATATAGAAATTTTTCCCTCTTCTTCCTTTATACTTGGCAGCCCATTCTCGTTCCCAGAGACACTGGGCTTAATTTGTAATGAACCAGTGGCTCTGGATGCAACGGCAAATACGAATTTTTTCATTGGCTAAAGGGAATTGAATGCGCAGAGAAAATTAAAAGTATAATCTACTGCGCATAACATTTTACTTCCTGCCCTCTCGAACTGCAAACATGAAATCCGTGTCTGGTTTACGTCGATCGCGACAATCCTGTTTTGTTAGCAATTGAATGCAATGCAATATCAGCGAAGAAGAGAATTGAAGGTCATGTTTGAGAAGTTTTTACGAGAACCACAAGCCTTGGCAAATAACGTTTGCCTTCGTTGTGGGCTAATTTTGCCTCTGTATTGACCATCGCATTTGGGGAAACTGAGTGGGGGAGTGAATGGTTAGCCCTTGCTAACATAGCTTGAAAGTTAAAAATTGAGCAATCGACACTTGTGTGGCATTATTAAATCTAATCAGTCTGTCTAATTCCTCTGGATATTCGTCAGTGCTACAGTAAGAGAGGAAATCAAGCTCAAGGACTACATTACAGAAATGATATGTCCGTGATAAGTTTATTACAAAGTGCTTTTAATTTTATTGTTTTTTATTGTTTCTTTTAATTTTTATTGTTTTTTCTGCTGAATGTACATCTCCTTTCCTATACTAATAGGTCAAGATAATTTTCTGTGTCAAGCCTTATTCGTTAGAGTATAGTACTGATGTCAGTGCACAAAGCCAGAACTGAATGGCTTATGAATCTTTTGGGCTGCATGCATAAGGCAATTTTTCAGATTTTTTTGTAAAGATGATAGGGCAAGTACTCTTTCCAATCTACATTTTCTTCCGCTGAATTAATGCTTTAATCATGCTCCGATAATTCTGGAGGCCCTCTGATAGTGTTTAGTTTAACAGTAAGAATTAGGCTGTGAAAGGAAAGGATCTGTGGCCGACGTGTTACAAATATGTTGCTAGAACATATTCTCTCATCCTAACAGTCCGGTTATTGCACAATTTTTCTTCATAAATAATTATATTATTTATTTGATCATTCAATAAGGGAGCACATTGTTCTCAACAATTTGGTGTTAAAAGTTTTAAAATACAAGAGAACTTTTAAGAAACTGTTTAAAATTAGGCATATAAATTATATGAAAACTGGTGTAATGTAGATTTATTGACAATGTTATGGACAACTGAGGTGTTCATAACTTTCATAAATAACATTAAAAATGACCAACAGCCTAGAGTAGTCTTTTTTGCATCATACTGCAGGTGGGGGTGTCTGAAAAAGAGGACCGGATACCTGCGGATGACGGATGCGGATGGAAAAATGCGGATAGTAAAAGGCGGATGGAAAAAATATTGGTTTAAAAGATTGCGGCGGAGAGTGACAACAACCAAAAATGTCACTAATTTGGACAAATAAATTGCATTACTAAAGCATGTTTTTGTCTATTATAAATGACAGTATGGTACCCACCATCAAGGAGCCAAGCACGTACATAAAGGTGTTTGGACAACTTTTAATTTTTGAAGAAAAAAAGACGGCATTTCCTTATATAAAAAAAATTGAGAAAATAAGACAAAATAAATCAAAAAAATTAAAATTTCGGCGTGCCTTTGCGTCGTAAATTGTTCTGTTTTCCCATAAAGGAGCCTGGTCTTGAAAAGCCTCACAATACAGTGTCAGACTCTCGGTCAGTGTAGATGAGCGCAAACAGCGAACGAGAAGCGAAAGAAACGCAGCGAAAAAGCGGACATTTGTCTGGCCTTCGTTCCATTTTCACAATCTTACGCTAAGCTCCCATCTATCAAAGAATGAAAAGTGATGATCAGATGTAGACATTGTTAAAATGTTTATAAAGTCTTCTTAAGAAGCAGGTTGATTTTTTGTCA